CTTTTCTCCTATAAGTTGATAAATTCAGGTATTTGTTACAGGAGAAAAATACAATGCTTAACAGAACCTGAACACTTTATCATATATATCTTATGTTTTTATCAGGATCATGTGATCCTATTAATTATTAATAATTTCTAATTATTCTTCATATCACTTTTTAGTTCTTTCACTGAATTTTCATTAATAAGTCATAATAGCAGTTACTTTATAGTGCCTGTTATGCAAGTGGTCATCTCTCTAAGTAAGTCAGAAATTAGTTTAGATATCACTTCTGGCACTACAAGTTTTATGGTTTTAGGCAACATGTCTAAACTAAGACTGTAGGATGGGGGTTACCATGACAATAATATGTAAAGTCACCAGAGTTTTTCTGTATCCAATCTGATCCTATTTCTTAGTTTCCGGTTGACTAGTAACAGCATCATCTACAGGTAGAACTCTTGTGATGGAATTCAAGAAGGCTGCTAAGATTTTTACCAGGTACCTCTTAAGAGATATTTTCCTCTTTCAAAAGAGCGTGGAAACCTGGAACTTCATATACAACAAAATGAAATTAAACCCCTATCTCTCACCATTCACAAAACTCAACTCAAAATGGATCAAGGACCTAGGAATTAAACCAGAGACCTTGCATCTAATATAAGAAAAAGTAGGCCCTAATCTCCATCATGTCAGATTAGGCCCCAATTTCCTTAATAAGACTCCTATAGCGCAATAATTAAAATCAAGAATCAATAAATAGGATGGATTCAAATTAAAAAGTTTTTTTCTCAGCAAAAGAAACAATCCGTGAGGTGAATACAGAGCCTACATCTTGGGAGCAAATTTTTACCCCTCACACATCAGATAGAGCACTATTCTCTAGGGTATATAAAGAACTCAAAAAGCTAAACACCAAAAAAACAAATAACTCAATCAATAAAAGGGACAAGAACCTGAACAGACACTTCTCAAAAGATGATATACAATGAATCAACAAATATGTGAAAAATGTTCATCATCTCTAGCAATTAGAGAAATGCATATCAAAACTACTTGAAGATTTCATCTCACTCCAGTCAGAACAGCAGCTATTAAGAATACAAATAACAATAGGTATTGGCGAGGGTGTGGGGGGAAAAGGCACACTCATACATTGCTGGTAGGACTGCAAATTGGTACAGCAAATACGGAAAGCTGTATGGAGATTCCTTGGAAAACTGGGAATGGAACCACCATTTAACCCAGCTATCCCTCTCCTCGGTCTATACCCAAATGTTTTAAAAACAGCATACTAAAGGGACACAGCCACATCAATGTTTATAGCAGCACAATTCACAATAGCTAACCAACCTAGATGCCCTTCAGTAGATGAATGAATAAAAAAAATGTGGCGCATATATACAATGGAATATTACTCAGTAATAAAAGAGAAAAAAATCATGGCATTTGCAGGTAAATGGATGGAGTTCGAGATGATAATGCTAAGTTAGCCAACCCCAAAAAACTAAATGCCAAATGTTTTCTCTGATATAAAGAGGCTGATTCCTAGTGGGGTAGGAGGGGGAGCATAGGACGAATAGACAAACTTTGGATTGGGCAGAGGGGTTGGAGGGGTAAGGAGGAGGCATGGGGTTAGAAATGATGATGGAATGACAGGGACATCATTATCCAAAGAACATGTATGAAGACACAAGTTGGTGTGAATATACTTTGTATACAACCAGAGATATGAAAAATTGTGCTTTATATGTGTAATATGAATTGTAATGCATTCTGCTATCATATAACAAATTAGAATTTAAAAAAATTTTAAAGATTTTAAAAGGACCTACTTATAAGATGGCCAAATAAGATGGAAGTGTTTTGTCACTATTATATATCTGAAAATGTTGGCCCAGAACTTTAACATTTAATATGAAATAATTAAAGATTCATTCTAAGCTTCAAAAATAGTTCAGAAAGGTCCCTTCGTCCAATTCCCCCAAACAGTAATACCTAAATAACCAAAGTATAATACCAAACGCAGGAAAACAATCTTAATAAAATCCACAGACCTTGTCAAATCGCACCTATTTTAAATGCATTCATTAGTGGTTTTGTGTGTGTGTGTGTGTGTGTGTGCGCGCGCGCGCCCATGTGTATGCACCTGCATGTGTAGTTATATTCAATTTTATCATCTGTGTGGATTCTGGGGTCCAACATTTTGTCTCATAATATTTCATAATCTAATAATATAAACAGTATTTATAATAAGATAAATATTTAAGATAATGCTTTAATCTTGGTTATAATTCTGAAACCTCCACCTTAGTTTAACAAGCAGAAAATAGTATTCACTGTACTTAGATTTTTCTTACATTTCCCACACAGAGGTCTAAATTAAGATTCAACTAAATTTACCTAATGTTTGTTGAAAATCAGGGTGCCAGGTATAGTGCGGAATAAAAAAATAAGACATCATTGTTTCTCCAAGATTTAAAACCTGGTTAGGAAGACAGATTCAGACATAAATACTAAGTACAAATAACCTTGATGTAACTTCCCAATTCAACACTTTAAAAAAATCTTTATTATTATTTTTAAAGATTTATAAAAATATACATTCAAAATGGAAGTTGATAATTTTTATTATTCATATTTATTTTGGTATTAGCTCAGAATATACAAACTTGAGACCTATCGCTATTTGTTCTTTGATATAGTTAGGAGTCAGTCATGTTAAACACTGTAATGCCTTTTACTTATTGCTGAGGAGGATTGTTATTGATTTTAACTATGCTGGTTGTCTCATGAGGAATTTAAAATTTTGAAAGAATGGTAATTAAAATCAAATTCAGCAATTAATTTTAAACATTTTAAACTGTAAAATGAGACACACAGACATCATTAGTTCACAAGGGAATTCAAAGTCAGAGTAGAGTGATATTTCTCAAAATGAAGACCACAGCAAGGTTCTGAGTGGAAGCATAAGAAAGAAACTGAAAAGTTCTGCCATACATAGCGGTGCATACCTATAATCCCAGTTACTTGTGAGGCTGAGACAGAGGACTGCAAATTGGAGAACAACCTGGACAACTCAGACAGACCCTGTTTCAAAAGTAAAAATTTTAAGAAGGGCTGAGGTGTTGCTTAGTGGTAGAATGCTTGTCTAGCATGTGCAAGGCCCTAGGTTCGAATACCAGTACTACAAAAAAAAAAAAAAAAAGACAAGCCTAGACATTTTTGGACCTGATGTCTCACTTATATCAGCCATCAGAATTTACATCAATATCTTTTTCCCAGTTATCATTCTCTTGTCCACCTGTTTTCTGTTCCCATTCATTGCTTTGAAAGATGAGAGAGCACAAAAGAACCAGATTATTTATAAATTCTATGAAACAAAGAAAATGTTATGCCTGCTTTCTCTCTTCTAAACATAGGAAAATAATTATACTTTGTTCTGTTATTAAGTGATAGAGGAGTTCCTTAAAGATTGTCCAAATGAGCTAGGCTTATAGCTCAGTGGTAGAGCACTTGCCTAGCACATTTTAGGCCTTGGTTTCAATCCCCAGCACCACAAAAAATTAATAATAATGATGAAGAGTACATTTTTTTTAAAAAGAACAGAATGTCCAAATGAAAAACTTGAAAATAATAATTTGCTAACTTAGTTGTAAGTTTCCAACATTAGCTGGTAAATATGATAGTATTCTTTAGATTACAGGCCTAACTAAGAAGCAAAAATCATCAAAATCCTTAAACTCTTATACTCCCAACAACCTTTGTCAATAAAATTATTAGCATCCAAGATGGGCAAGTTGGAACATTTTTCATCTCCTCTTGAATCTAGTCTAACAGATATAATTTCATTACTTTATTAAAAGTAATGTAATGTAAATTCTCTACATTTTAGAAAACAGAAATAAAATGACAATATAAGAAACATTCCAAAACAACCCAAGTACAATGTATTTTCTCAATTTGTAGACAGTCTATTTACAGTTTATAATGCAAATAGGCATACCCACTGAAGGATCCAAAGTTATTGTTGCCTCTCTTCTTTGAATCCTGTATATCTTATTAAAAGGCTGCAATTTCACAGAGAAATAATTACTATGCGTAAATAAATTCATTGTGTTGTAAGTATTCCTAGTGTCTTGACTGGTCACTGATACCACTTTAGAATTTAAAACTTCTGCTGGGCATGTTAGCACATACTTACAATTTCAATTACTTGGAGGCTGAGGCTTAGCAAGACCCTATATCAAAACTTTTTAAATAGGGGGAGTGAAAAGGCCGGGGGCATAGCTCAGTGATAGAGGATGCCAGAATTCCATCCCCATTATTGGAGGGGAAAAAAAAGAATTGAGCACTTCCATTAACAGGTAACAAAGTCTGTGTTTCCCTTTGTAAATAAAAATGATATACTAGTACATGTTGTTATTATTAATTAATTAATATATGTGTGGTTTCATGTATGTTTTCAGTGGCAGAAAGTATTTTGCATTAATCCCTGACCAAGTTCTCCCTAAGAGTAACAGAATCTTCTGAAATATAGCTGGATGGAGTTTGGGATGCAATTTGTGATAAATCTAGTCAATCCTTAGAAGGTGCAAATAAATTCACCTGATTAACTGATTCTCTAAGGAAATAATTCACTGACTAGTGTCCCATAGCATAGCAGCCCTCAAGCCCTTGGCAGATACATTATCTAGCCGGATATTTCCTTCTTATCAGCAGATAAGCTATAGAATTTACATAATTTGAATGACTGGTAGTTCCATACACTAGGATAATTACATCAGGAACAGTAAAATCTGGTACAAAACAAATGAAGTAGGTTCATCCAGAAGAAACACAGAGACACCCACACTCATCATCAGTTAATTTCATCACATTTCTCAGACTACATAAAACAGTATTATTCTAGGGTCCCCTCCAAACTTATTTTATAACATCTTCAAAGCTACAATGAGTGAAGACAAAGACTAAGAGAGAAAGGAGAATTAACCCACAGAACTCACAGAGATAGTTACCTGGTAGTCTGGTTTTGTAAAATAATCCAAAGATGAGATATGGTCCAGAAAGAGGCTGAATTCTGGAGGGAGATGTTTCAACATGAGCCTATGGTCATACCTCTCTTTGATAGAGCCTACTTGCTCCTGGGAAGTAAAGAGAAAAGAAACCAGAGTCAATTTCTCTTGGCAGCTATGCAATAGCAGTACAAGTCCCTCAGTAATAATTTCAAGGGAATGTACAAGGGAATATGACAGTAGGTAATTATAAAGCAAGAATGGAGCTCTTACTAACAGCTTACTGCCTTGTGCTTTAAAGCAAGAAAAAAAAACTATGCAGAATCAAGAGTAACACTGAATACTGCATCAGCAAATGTAATAATCTCCAAAAGAGTACCTTAAATCCAGTCTATTTTTCCTTATCAACACATTCATAATTTTGATATCAAACATGACAATTAAAAACTAAAAGTTCACTTGACTTAGAAAAACAGAAAGAATCAGTGAAATTAAAAGAAGGAAGGGTTAGGGGTATAGTTCAGTGATACAGCATGTTCTCAACATGTTTTAGGTTCAATCCCCAGCAGCACCCACTGCACCACAAAAAAAAAAAAATACTGAGAAGAAAAGCTATAAATCAAATCAGAAACAATGACTGTAGTGATACATTAGTGTCTTTTCTCTATGAACATAAAAAAAAAAAAGTCATAACATTAGCCAGCAGGGTGGCACATAGTAACTGTAATCCCAGTTACTCAGAAAGGTCAGGGAGGAGGTTCTCAAGTTTGAGGTCAGCCTGAGCAATTTAACAAGGTCCTGTCTCAAAATACAAAAATAAAAAGGGCTGGGGATGTAGTACAGTGGTAGAGTGCCCCTGGGATTTAATTCCTAGTACTACCAAAAAACAAAACAAAAAATAGTAATAATATTAATTATATCAGCTCACAAAGAGAAAAATATACATATTGAGATATAGGAAAAAATACTTGAAGATTTTAAGTCTTATATGTAAGTATAAGTATTTTCTTGTTTTTAAATTTAAATTCACATTTTAATTGACATAGAAAAACAAAAAATTATACATGTTAATGAGGTACTATGAATGTTTAAATACATGTACATGTTATGTAATGTTCAGTAAGTACATTTTCAATAAAATGCCTACTAAAGAGTAATTTTTTCTTTCTTGAATCAAAATTGACATCACTGTTTTCAAAATTACCTTGTCTTTTATTTTCCTCCAAGGCAGCTGACCAACCACAAACTCGACCAACATGTAGAATAAGGACCAAAGGTCATCATGTCTTCCCATTTCCTTCATAAACAAAACAGAATTCAGTCACATTACATTACCAGTTCTTCTGAGTGTATTATTGTTGAAGAGCTAACCATTGTGTTTCATTTTATAAGTTGTAAAATTTTAAATGAATTTCCCATAAAACTGTCTGGTAAATATATCTTTATATCTACGTAGCTATACAGCAATCTATATGGAAATATTTACATATTGAATTTTTTTATATAAAGAATATCCTAAGGTAGGCATGGTAGCCCATATGCCTCTAATTTCAGCAGCTCTGGAAGCTGAAGCAGGAGGATGGCAAGTTCTAGGCAAGCCTCAGCAATTTAGCAAGACCCTCTCTCAAAATAAACAAAGGAAAACAGGGCTTAGTGGTAGAGTACCCATGGGTTCAATCCCCAGCACCTGAAAGAGAAAATAAATACCTAAAATAAAATAAAAAATTAAAAGGCTAGGGATGTAACTCAGTGGGGTAGAGCACTACTGGGTTCAATACCCAGCAGCAGGTATGAAAATGGAATTACAGGACACAGAATATGAAACAAGACTTTAAAATGTTTAAATGAGTTAGGTGCAGTGGTACACCTGGTAATCCCAGGGACTCAGGAGGCTAAAGCAGGAGGATTCCAAGCTAAAGGCCAGACTGGGCAACTTAGCAAGACAATGTCTCAAAAAATAATAAAAGGCGGGGGGTGGGGGGGTGATATAGCTCAGTGGCAGAATGCCCTGGGTTCAATCCCCAGTACAGCCACCAAAAAAAAAAAAAAAAAAAGAAAGAAAGAAAAAGAAGAAAAAAATGAATCAAAGTCATGAGAAACATATTCTATCAACAAACAAACAATATTCAAACAACCAGATTTGAAAAGGGATCAAAAAAGATCATCTAAAATAAAAACTAAAATGACAGAAATTAACTCAATGAAAGCCTGAAATTAAATTTAAGAAGCATGGAGGACACAGTAAGAAGATTTAACATACATAAATTTAGAGACTTGAGGAAAAGAGTATACAGAGAAAGGGAAAGATGGAATACCTAAATAATCTGGAATCTTCCAGAATCAATGAAAGACATGGAAATTTGGATTGAGGAAGTACAATTAAATCCCAAACAGAATAAATACTTAATAATTCACACATAGACTCATTTAGTGTATCTACAGGATACCAAAGAAGAGATGTCAAAAGTATTCAAATACAAAGCAACAATTGAATTGACCAAGATTTTCTCAATAGTAATTACTGAACAAGAAGAGAGTAAAATAATTTCTTCAAAGAACTGAAGCAAATATTAACAAAGGATTAAAATGTAGAACACATCAATAAAACAGTGACTAGAGTTCAAGTGTTTTGAAATAACAAGTATTGTCTGGACATTAACTATATTAAAAGTTTATGATTAAGAAACAGCAATAAAAATAGAAATGGAATGCATTTTTTTAAGCAATTATCAAATCAGGGTCATAGAGAAAGAAGCATGTTAGAACCTTATCTATCTTATTTATTTATACTGGAGATTGAACCCAGGGGCCTTTAACCAACTGAGTTACATCCCAAACTCTTTTTAGTTTTTATTTTGAAACACAGTCTCACTAAATGGCTTAGGTGAAACACAGTCTCACTAAATGGCTTTGCTAAGTTACTGAGGCTGGCCTTGTACTCGCAATCATTCTGCCTCAGCCTACCCAGTCCCTGGTAATGGCCACCTCACTTGGCTCCAATTTTATTTTCTATTCAGCTGCTTTTATCCACTGTACACCTTACCATTCATCAGTATTATGAACTATTTTACCATTAATGCCACACAAAAAGTGAATTAGAACTAGCATTCAGGTAGATTTATAGCTATAAAAGGGATCTCCTGCTCCCAAGCACTTTCTATACCTTTGTACTGTAATGTGAAGAAGTAATCTGATTCAAGCCATAAGCATTCTTACACAGACATGACTCTGGTTCAGACACTTACCCTGTTCCGATGAGCATTGATTGATGCATAACGAACTGTCCCTCGAAAGCCTGCCACAGTTCGAGGCTACAACAAAGCCAAGCAAAAATAATAAATCAACTTCAAATAGCAACAGTTTAGTACACCTGAGCCAATAAAAACATGGAGAAAACTTGTACATTACCATCACAATAAAACACTATAACTTTCTGTTATGAAATTATAGAAAATTAGAGATAGAGTATTTCTAAATCACACCTTTTAAAAAACTGATATTTTTGTTAATTTTATTTCAGTTCTTTTTTTTTCTACTTTCATTTTAAAATGTGTTGGCATTGAGCTAGGGATGTAGCTCAGCAGTAAAAAGCCTTAGGTTGGATTCCCTAACACATACACACACACACACACACACACACAAAGGCATTTATGACCTATATTCAACTCTGCACATTCAGAAAACATTAAATGTTTTCATATACCAGAATGATGCCAAGCGTCATGGTAATAACATGCTCTGATTATAAATATATATAGTAAGACCACAAGGAAGGCCTGGAGTTATGGCTCAGCGGTAGAGCTCTTGCCTAGCAAATTCGGGGCCCTGGGTTCGATCCTCAGCACCACAAATAAATCAATAAAATAAACGTATTGTGTCCAACTATAACTAAAAAATAAATATTTTTTAAAAAGACCACAAGGAAAAACCTCAGATGCCAACCTTTTTATATCTTGGCTATTTCATTCAAATGTAATCCAAAGATAGTAGCAATTTGTACCTTACCTATGTATGCAACTTACACAATAAAAATTCAAATTACTGGTTACTTAGTATGTACCAAGTACTGGGAATAAAGTAAAACATGAATACCTGATACTGGCCCTTGAGGAGTGCAACTTTGAATAAAGTCCAAACACTTTATTTAGCCTACAAGACTTTCCATAATTTAGCACTTGCCTTCTTCCACAACAGATTTACTATAGTTTTCTTCTATCACCGTTTTCTTTCTAGCTCAAGACTTTGCACTTGTTATTATTAAAATGTCATCTCCCTGCATGCCTCCCATGGCTATCTCTTCTATTCCATAGAAAAGACTCTGCTTAAGTGCTACTCTTTTTTTTTTTTTTTGCAGGGGGGGCTCAATCCAGGGGTACTTTACTATATCTCCAACTCTTTAGCTCTTTTTATATTTTATTTTAAGACAGGATCTCACTGAGTTGCTGAGGCTGACTTTGACCTTGAATTTGTGATTCTCCTGCCTCAGCCTCCCAAGTTGCTGGGATTACAATCATGCACCACCTTGCCTAGCTGCATCATATTCTGCTATATTTTTAATAACACCTTTTACTAACTGAAATCAATTTTATTTATAATTTTACCATATTGTCTGTTTATATTTTAATTTACTGCCTATCTTCTTTCATTACACAGGATATAAACTCTTTGTGAAAACTCTGTCCAGCTCATTTTACAAACATAGAAACAGTCTCTGAATCTCAGTAAGCAATAAAACCAGGCATCAAAGTAAGATTTTTCAACTTAAAATCATTCTACTGCTTTATAGGGATCAAGTCAGTGCCCTGAAGAGTCATAGATAGCACTATATTTCAATATGAAAACTGACAAACTTGAAAAGGATCACAGCCAATCATTTTTGTTAGTGGATTTTTCCCCAATAATTTCAAAATTTCCTTAATATGTATTACTTTTATTAGAAAAAGACTACAATAAATGTTATTTTTAAAATCCTGGGCTAGAGATGTAGCTTAGTGGTAGACTGCTTGCCTGGATGCTCCAGGCTCTGGGTTCAATCCCTAGCAACTTGGCAGGGGCAAAAAAAGAAAAATAAAAAAGAAAAAAGATAATTCTCATTTATTAGAATCATTTTGGTCATATGCTATAGCATAAGAGTAAAGTAAACAATTGAAGTGTTCTTCCTCCATTTACTCATTTTTGTAATCTATATTTAATCTATTCAAGCTGGTTGTCTATTCTCATTTCTTTTCTCTTTAAATACTTTTTCAAGACTTTATTTCAAAATAATCTCTAATAACATGTCTTAGTAATCAAAAGTTCCTGCAATCTCTTAAAATCTCCTTCACTGTTTTAGCTGCCAGTTATTGACAATCATAGTTAGTAGATCTCAACATTTTCCTACAACATGAATAACAAGAATATCTTGGGCTAGGGATATAGATCAGTGGTAAAGTGCTGGCATAGCATGTGTGAGGCCCTGGGCTTAATTCCTAGCAACACCAGGAAGGAAGAAAGGAAGGAAGGGAGGGAGGGAGGGAACAATATCTAATAGTCCAACTTGGTTAATGAAACTCTTGAGGTCAAAGATTTCTCTTTCTAGAAGAAAAACACCTAAAAGGATATATGAAAGGCTACTATCAATAGTTTTCAGTAAATAACATTTCAGAGGTTGTATTTTTCTTTTCTTTTCTTCTTTTTCTCTTGGGTACCAGGTATTGAACTCAGGGACATTTGACGACTGAACCACATCTCCAGCCCTATTTTTTATTTTATTTTATTTTATTTTTTATTAGAGACAGGGTCTCACTGAGTTGCTTTGCATCTAGCTTTCTGCTGAGGCTGGCTTTGAACTCTTGATCCTCCTGCCTCAGGCTCCTGAGCTGCTGGGATAACAGGCATGCGCCACCATGCCCAGCAAAGGTTGTATTATTTTTGTTCATTAACTTCAGCTAACACAAAAATTGTTTTTTGTAGCATGCAATTTTGTCCAATTATTTTCTATCTAATAATTGGCAGGATGAAAATCTCTGGATCTATTACCACATTCTGCAACCTCATGCCCAGTTTAATTAGGCAACTAGACTTCCCTATGATGGATTCTAACCAAGATAAGGCCAGGAGATTTTTCCCTTTTCCAAGTATCATTGACCTAGCTCTGACCTGACTTCTGCTAAGACTGAAATCCAGTTGAACAGAGATCAGCTGTTTAGATAAATCTTAATGTAACTAATCAAAGAAATAATACCAAGTCAAAGAAATTCAATCACCTTATTTATTTAATGTAGTAAAGCAACTCAAACCCCACTGGGGAATTGCAAATAGTTCAATATATTCAAATAATTCTAATTCAAAGCAGATTGTAATGAATACCATTAGCAAAGTACAACTACAAAAGCTCAGAAGTGTAAGGATTAATTCCATTTACTAGGAGGGAAGAAGAAAAAGTCTCATGACTAGGCAGCATTTTATTGGTTTTTGAAAAGGCAGTCTCTTCGGCTGGGGTTGTGGCTCAGTGGTAGAGTGCTTGCCTAGCACATTCGAGGCCCTGGGTTCGATCCTCAGCACCACATAAAAATAAATAAATAAAATAAATGTATATAAAAAAAGAAAAGGCAATCTCTTAAAACTTCTCTAGTTGATGGCAATTTACTAATATTTATCAAAATTGCAAATGTGTATCTTCTCCTTGACCCAGCAATTTCACTTCTAGAAATTTATCTTACAGATATATAAGCCTGCCAGGTGCAGTGATGCATGCCTACAATCCCAGATACTTGGAGGAGACTGAGGCAGGAGGATACAAGTTCAAGGTCAACCTAAGCAATTTATCCAGACCCTGTCTCAAAATTAAAAAAAAAAAAAAAAAAAAAAAATTTTTTAAAGGGCGCCTGGCAACCTCATGAGTACTCAGCATTCATCTTTTTTTCTTTTGGGGGGTTTTGTTTTAACCATCTAATTGGTATATAGTGGTATCTCACAGTGGTTTCAACTTGCATTTACCTAATAACTAATGATGCTGAATATCATTATTTGTCATCTGTATCTCTTCTTTGATGATATATCTACTCAAATCTTTTTTTAAAATATTTGCAATTGTAGATGGACACAATACCTTTATTTAGTTTGTGTTTCTTGTTTTGTTTTGTTTTTTCCCAATGTGTTGCTGGGGATTGAACCCAGTGCCTCATGCATGCTAGGCAAGACTGTACCACTGAGCCATAATCGCAGCCCTCAAATCTTTTTTTAGCACAAATATTTTAATCATCTAAAATGAGATTTTCTTTAAGAAGTTATTGATGGTTTCAAGCTCACTTTTATAAGGTATCATATCAATGACCCTTTTAAGATATATAAAACTATGGAAGAATATCAGCAGAAGCTATATAAACATTTCAAGTAAGGGCCAAGAGAAAGTTCAGCGTGTTTTCAGAAGAAACCCAAACAAGTTCAACATGGTCACACAAATCTTAGTAAAATAATCAGAGTGAGGGCTCAAGTTGCTGAGTAAGTGGGAGAAGGAAGCATTAGCTCATTAACAGGCCATGTAACAGATTAAGTAATTACCCCTCTGAAATTTTTGTTAAAGCTTCCTATCATTCTTAGACTACAATCCATCTCTTTAAAAGTCATACATAATCTAGGGTCTGTTGGCTTCTTCAATCTGTCTCTCTCTACATACTCTTTCTTTACTATGCTATAGTCACAGTGGCATTCCTGCCTTCCTTAAACATGTTTACTTATTATACCTCAGAGTATCTTTGCACTTGCTATTTCCTCTGCCTAGAACATTCTCCCTCTAGATATTCATATGGTTCATCTCATGTTTCATTCAATTTTCAACTCAATACCTTCTTAGAGGTCTTTTCTAATCTATACTTCAAAAATAGTCTCTTATCCTCACTATCTATCACTTTCTATGTCAATATTCAGCTTTTTGTTTCTTCGTAGCATTTCTATATAAAATTATCTATCTTAGTCGCTAAAATATAACCTCCATAAAGATCCATGATTTTGTTTGCTCTTGTTCACTACTGTGGTTCTAGCATCTAGATACATGCTTCACATGTAATATGTATTCACTAAATATATTTTATGAATGAATAAACAATAATTTAGCAGTGTTCTAAAAACCAAAACTGAGCCAGGTGCAGTGCACATGCCTATACTCCCAGCAAGGAATGTCAGGAGGCTGAGGCAGGAGGCTTGCCTCAGCAGTTTAGTAAGATCCCATCTCAAAATTTAAAAATAAAAAGGGCTGGGGATGAAGCACAGTAGTAGAGAGCCCCAGGTTCAATCCCCAATACCAGAAAAAACAAAAAACCTAAAACCTGAGGGGGAAAAAATAAATTAAAATCTGATCATCAGAATAGAAATATATACTTGAATTTAATAAGTCACATAAAAATCTGTTTATTATCTGCCTTCTTATCCATTAATGTAAGACCTTTAAAAAATGCAAGACCGTCTCTGTAGATGGAAAGGTTCCCATAATTTGAGACACTTAAGCTCCTCGTGTGTCTATACTTTAATTACAATTTGCATTTATGTATAAAACTATTATTAGATAGTTGCCCCAATAAAATCTAGTGTTTTTTTAACTTTTGTGCAACTAAACTAACAGAAATGAAAACTAATTACAATCAATAACCAAATTTAAAGGAAAGTTGAAAGTAAACATCAGAAGAATTGCAGTAGGAGATTTGAGTGTCGCCATGACAATGTAAGGAGCTCGACTGACCCACTTCTCAGTAACACTAGGAAACATTTTAAAAGCAATCTTTTAAACCCTGTAGAAATAGTCCTAAAGGCAAACAAATGAGGAAACATCTTTTTAGGAAAACTTATAAGAAAGTAAAATAACTTGTAAGAAAGGTCAAGCCTTCACTTGGGCCTTCACTCTAGTTATTTTACTAAAAACTTGCAAGAAAGGTCAAGCATCTGTGGCATTTGCATCAAGACTGCTCCTTCCCCTATCCTGGCTCAACTAGGGTAAGCCCCTGCAGACTTCTGTAGCCAAGAAGATAGAGCTAACCTCCTTTCTCAGTTCTCAGACTGAGGGTTTTTGTTCTTGAAGGAGCAAGACTTCTGCATTTTTCTTCTTATCCCCAGTGCTTGTTGATGAGGAGGCTAAGTCCTGAGCTGGTGAAGTTGGAGAGGCAGAAATGCCCTTCTTGCATTCTGCCTCTGACAAAGACTTTCTTTCTTGACCTAACTCTGGAAAAGCTCCTCTGACATCTCTTCTCAAATAGGCCCAGAGCTGGGGGCACACTTGTTGTTCCTACTTAGTCCAGTTTTAGCAAGAGTCCTGTAGGTCAGTTTAGCAAAAATTCTCTACACTGGTATCTTTCCACCCTTGATATTTGATCAAATTCTTTATCACACACGTTCTCTCTTATCGTGCTGTTGTGCCTTCAGTAATAATCCTTTCAGGCCTAAAATTGAAAATGTCCAGTTTCCAACAATAAATCACCAGGCATGCAAAGATTCAGGAAAGTATGACCCATGAATGGGGAAAAAAGTGGACCAAAAATAAAAAATAAAAAAAAAAAAGCTGTGAGAGTACTGCGTTCAACATGAAGATTTTCAAAGCAGCCATTATAAATACATTCACAGAACTAAAGAAAAGCTTAATTAGAGAAGTAAATTATGACGATAATGTCACATTAAATAGGGAACATCAAGAAAGAGAACCAAATATAAATTCTGAAATTGAACAGTGCAGTAATAATTGAAGCAGAAGAATTGCAGCACATAGGAAAGGCAACAGATTGCAAAAAAGACCTCTAATCCCAAAGGGATAATATATGTTCTTACTATCAAGACCATTCTGAATCTGCCTAGAATATACATTACTTTAAAACAATGACTTTCAATGATAAAACTTCTTAATTTGTCTATGATGTAATCATAAAGTCTACATGCTATTTCTTAGCAAATGCTATTTTTTTCCACTGAGCTACATCCCAGAGCTAAATGACATTCTTTCTGATACATAATTATCATTTCTTTAAAAGAAGAATACTATAAATAATAGGTTAATTATCAAATATTTAATAGTAATATGAAAAATCTTACTGGTCTGACGTCACCACAGGAATTGGTAAATTGTCGAGCCAAGCCAAAATCAAGCATGTAACACTTTCTACATGTACTAGGAAAACGACCCATGGCGAAGTTTGACTAGAAAAATAAAGAAGGAAATATACATATTCATATAATATTTACTTCATACACTTTACCTTTCTAATTCTTAATCTATTAAAATCTGAAACATGTTCCAGATACACTATTCTAATCAATGATGTTTACTACATATTAATACATAATTTAGTTGTTGGTTCTATTAATGCCTAGCATCAGACAATCTTTGGACAAAAAACAATTTAAGCAACTGTATAAAGTTACACACAATATAATACTGATTTAACTAAGTTCAGAACTCTAAATTCCTTAAGATATCTGTAATCCTAGCTACTTGGGAGGCTGAAGCAGGAGGATTACAAAAATTACAAAATTGCAATCTTTGAGATCAGTCTCAGCAACTTAGACTATCTCAAAAAGGAAAAAAAAAAAAAAAAAAAAAAGGACAGGGATGTAGGGATGTAGCACAGTGGTAAAGCACCTCAGGGTTCAATCCATAGGATTGCAAAAACAAAAAACAAAACAAACAAAAAAACCCTTTAAATTATTTGAATTGTAATCTAAATAACTACTTAAATGATAACCTAACTCCTTAGTGGTTTTTTCCCCCTTCAATCCTTTTTATTTTTTTTTATTTTACTTTTTATTTGGGCAACTAAATTGCCCAGACTGGCCTTGAATTTGTGATCCTCCTGCCTGAGCCTCCTGAGTTGCTGGGATTACTGGTGTGCACCACTGCACCTAGACCATACCATACCATTTTTTTGTACCAGGGATTGAAACCAAGGGCACTTAACCACTGAGCCACATCCCCAGTCCTTTTTTATTTTTGATTTTGAGACAGGATCTCACTAAGTTACTGAGGGCCTTGCTAGGTTGCTGAGGTTGGCCTCAAACTTTTGATCCTCCCAAATCACTGGGATTACAGGAATGTGCCACTGCACCCAGCCAACCCTACTTTTTAAAAGTAGAAATGGGGGGTGGGCAGAAAACAAACATAGCTCAGAAATTTAAAAGAATTTCCTATAAGCGTCATAAAGCTGAATTTCACTAAATTTAAAATACAATTTAAGGAAACATTTTAATATAGACTTCAGGAAAATATACTTTGCATTCTTTCCTTAAAGAAAAACAATGTAATATTTAAGGATCCTAAATTTGTGAAAATGAATTTATAAATAAGGTAAAATTCCACACTTTTATAGAATTGTTAATTTCCTTTAAAAGTACTTATGGAACCTTATGATTAATATGGAAACTCTTCAATCATTAGGCTTCTCAAATAATGACTTGGGAGGCTGAGGAGAAATGTTACATAACATTAAATCTGACTCTATTATGTCAATTTGGTGTTTTCCTGTAAACTATTTAATTTTAGAAATCATATAACAACAGATGGTTATACTTTTCAACTACAGGATACTTTTACAGTAAATAAAATACACCAGAAGTGGGTCATTTCCCCTCATGATCAATAAAACATCCCAAAGGAAAAAGCAAAAACATTATTTCAGGATGGAAATCACAATTTCTAAGAAAAATAGAAATAGCAGCACTCAGAAGAAAATAGTCTTTCAGAGAATATTCTGATTTTTTATAAATACAATTTCTGCTTGAAAAATGGAGAAAACAATGTAAACAACTAAAAGCAAAATACATATATTTTTAAATCAATATTATGGGGAGATCCAAAGAGTAACTATTGATTTAGATTTAAGGCTGAGTAATTTGCAATGTTAACACATAATAATATCAGTGAAACATAAATTATTTTTAATTTGGCGGCAAGAAACATCTGTATGTTGTGAGGAAGGATAGTGGGGATTGAATCCAGGGTCTCACACCTGTTAGGCAAGGGCTCTCCCAGTGAGCAACATCCCTAGCCCTTTTATAAATTTTACCTTGAGACAGGGTCTCACTGGCTGGCCTCAAATTTGCATTCCTCCTGCTCTGGCCTCCCAAATAGCTGGAATAACAACCAAGTGCCACCACACCTGTCTGGCAAGTAATATTTTCATGGTATGAGAAAAGCTCTTGAAATTAGTTGTGGTTTGTAATTATAACTTCAAGAAAAACTAAGAGGCAAGTTACATTTTTGCTTCTAGGTGTCCACAGAAATAAAAATATTCCTTTGTATTTAACCATAGCAAATACAGAAGACTGCATTTGTAATTTATTGTGTTCCATTATAACACCAAGAGTACTAAAAAAAATTCCTTCTCTGCTAAGGCAGGAAAAGTCCCCTACCGGTTTGATGTCTCGGTGCAAGAATCCCACTGAATGGATACTTTCAATGGACTCCAGAATCTGCCTACCCAGGCGAAGAGTAGTGCTAATGGTGAATGTGCCCCGGGACTGGCTACGGCGAAGATCTGCCAGATTCCGACCCTGTGGAAACCAGATAACCACTTTCCATTATGGTACTAAAACTGGAAAACTGTTCATTTACCATTAGAAAAATGCTGCAACTGAAATAGCAAAGGTTTTACCCAAGTTGTGATGCTCTCACTCAATGGAGATATTCTCTTAATAACACAAATATTTCAGATAAATTTTTAAAATACCAGTTTTTAACATTTTATTTCTGATTCATCATGTTTCCCTTAATCTCTGACATCATAACAAAATATAGGCCTCATTATTTAAAATATTTATTATTATTTTTTTCGTTGCAATTGCACACAATACCTTTATTTTATTTATCTATTTCATGTGGTGTTAAGGATCAAACTCAGAGCCTCGCACATGCTAGGCAAGTGCTCTACCGCTGAGCCACAACCCTAGCCCAGACCTGATTATTTTGAAAGATATAAAACATTTATCATCCCAAATTACTGCCTAATACATACTCCCATACAAGCTACTTAATTTTTTTGCATCAGTTTTTCTCATAAAATAGGTAATAATACACATCTCACAGAGTTTTGTGAAGACTAAACAAGACCCACGTAAGTTTACTGTGTGGTATACATTAGGTACTCAACAAATACTAAATGTTGTTATTATTTCCAAATATGATATGACAAACATTCAATTACTTGTAGCAGTGGATAAAAAGCAATGGATGGTACCTTGTCTGTGCCAGATGTATTAACATTCATAATTCCATTTAATCCTCACAGCACCCTAAATAGAAATTGTTCCTATTTCTGTCTTACAGATGAAGGAACTGAGTGAGATTCAAAGAGGGTCAATTATGTTAACATGTTATGGTAAAGCTGTTTTATTTATTTATTTTTAAAATTTTTGGTTCTAGGGATTGAACCCAGGGGTGCTTTACCAAGATTTCAATATAAATGCAAGTGGAATTTCCATCCTCCTGCCTCAGCCTCCTGAGTTGCTGGGATTACAGATGTATATCACCGCATCTGGCAGTAAAGCATTTTATTCAAATCTGTCTGTTTAACTCCAAAGTGTTCTTTTCCTACAGTGCTTTTTCATAATTCTGTTTCACCAAAATTACTCCTTTTTGCTTAGACAACAAACCAGTAATCTGAAAAGAAGAGCAGAGCTAGCTCAAACTGCCCCACTTCCCAAAGATTAGAGACTGGCCCCCATGTCACAGAGGATTTAAATATCCCAGTCGCTCTACTTCTATTATTCTGTAATATGAAGCCAGGTGTGATAGTGCACATCTGTGATCCCAGGAACTTGGCAGGCTGAAGCAGGAGGATCTCAAGTTCAAGAGCAACTTATGGAGGCCTTAAGCAATTTAGCAAGAACCTGTCTCAAAGTAAAAACTAAAAAGGTTGGAGATGTAATTCAGTGGTAAAGTGCCCCTGGGTTCAATCCCTAGTACCAAAAAGTAAAAAATAAAATAGTAAGATTTTATCTTACATTTGCTGATCAATTAGCAATAACTGAGAAGATAAACATAGGCTGACAAGAGCATGGGATAAAGAGTTACATCTCCAGCCCTTTTTATTTTTATTTTGAGTCAGGATCTCACTAAGTTGCTGAGGCTGGCCTCAAACTTATGATCCTCCTTCCTCGGCTGTCCAATTTGCTGGGATTACAAGTGTGTGCCACCACACCGAGCTGAATTATTTGTATTTTTTTAAATGATCTTTTTATACAGTAATATGCGATAAATGGAAAAAAGTCCAAGTAATTCTATATATTTAACAAGATTCCAATACAAATCCAATTTATTATTGAAAACAAAAAATATACCCAAAAGGAGAGAAAATAACACAATAAACATTCATGTATCCACCATACACCCAGAATTAAAAATTATCAATTCATGGCCAATCTTTCTTTGTCTATTATCCACCTCCTAAAACATAACTTCTCCTGGCATGTACACACATGCTACATTATTTTCATGTAAATTATAATCATATTATTTCATCTATATATATTAAAAAATACATAAAGGCAAAGAAATAAAAATATAAAAAATTATTAGCAATTCTGCTAATGTAAATTTTAATTATAAGCATCAATATGAACCATAGCATACTTTTTCTTTAGAAATAATGTACTGGAGTGGCTGGGGTTATGGCTCAGTGGTAGAGTGCTCACTTGGCATGCATGAGGCACTGGATTCCATTCTCAGTACTACATAAAAATGAAATACAGATATTGAATTCACTTAAAACTAAAAAATATTTTTAAAAGTTTTTTTTTTTTTTTTTAAATAATGTATCCGGGGGCTGGGATTGTAGCTCAGTGGCAGAACGCTTGCTTGGCATGTGTGAGGCACTGGGTTCAATTCTCAGCACCACACAAAAATAAATAAATAAATAAATACATGTATTTATTTATTTAAATAAATGTATTGTGTTCATCTACAACACACACACACACACACACACACACACACATATAAATGTATTTCCTGAACAGCCACTTGGAAAGAATGAAAAACAATGATCAATCCATTGCAATATGCATTCATAGCATCCAGACTGTGGTCTCCAAATAGCCCATTAAAAGGAACAAAGGTTTAATGAAGAAATGACTGGTTTCAGAGCCAGAGCATAAATATGTAGAATGAGCTTAGTATACCATATTGTACCAAAAAATAAGAATGCTATCAAAGACTGCTATTTAATCCTGTCAAAATGAATCAGGACCCAACCTGAAGAAAGTTCAATTGGCTAAAGATGGTGTCCTGCAGCCCTAATCTTGTACTGTCTCCATAAAGCAGAATTTCTATCCCACCCTAGTCTTGCTTATCTTTCAGAACAGGATGCATGAAGGTCAGAAGTTCCTCTTCATATAGACTAGCTAAAACTGGATCGATCTAAGATGGCTGACAGAGTGACCTTCAGACAAACTTTTTGGTGTATGCTTTAAAAGACACTTCCTCCTACCATCCAGACAATTGATAACTGGCAAGACAAATGGAAAAAATCATAAAAGGATCAGAAAGAGATGATGCCAAAATTCCCCCCAAATCTCCACCCATTCCCAAAAAAGGCAGTAATATGCCTTCCCTTACCTCTGTTTTGCTTTTTCAGTGCTGGGGGGTCAAACCCAGGGTCTCCTGCATGCTAGGAAAGGGCTCTGCCACCAAGCTACATCCCCAGCCCTTTGTATTTTTTTATTCTGAGACAGGGTCAAAAGTTGCCAACCCCTCATTTTTTTTTTACCCTATATTTATAACCCCAATCTCTAAGGGGTGGGAAGTTGATTTGTAAGTTTATGTCCTACTTCTGTTCTTGTCAATAATAAAAGTCTCCTTCACTGCTTAAGTGATGTTTGGTCTTGTTACTGGTTCCACAATTCCTAAAGGAAAAAGGACTCAGCACTTGGGGTCAAAAATTGGCAATGGGAAGGCCCGGGTTGTGGCTCAGAGGCAGAGCACTCACCTAACATGTGTGAGGCACTGGATTCCATCCTTAGCACCATATAAAAATAAAATAAAGATATTATGTCTACCTATAACTAAAAAATAAATACTTAAAAAAAATGGCAATGGGAGAGCCCCCATGGCAACACATGCCTGTAATCCCAGCAACTCAGAAAGCTGAGACAAGAGGATAGCAAATTCAAGGCCACCATAAGCAACTCAGAAAAATCCTGTGTCAAAATAAAAATAAAATGGCCTGGGGATGTAGCTCTGTGGTAAATCACTTCTAGGTTTAATTCCTAGTACCCCCCAACCCCTACCAAAAAAAAAAGGCAATGAGACAATGTAAGCATTAAAAAGAAAAGCTACAGAGGAAGAGAGATCTTCCAGCCACGGCCTGGGGGCCACAAGGTGGAGCTGACCAAGGCCCAGGCTTTGGGGTCCTGCTGAAGGCATGCTTTCCACCCTCTGCTTTACGTGCCCGACCCAGGGATGCATCCCGCTGCAGTATGCCTTGCTGACGCAGATGCACTTCGATGGACGCCTGGGCTTCCCCGGCGGCTTTGTGGACGTGCAGGGCAGCAGCCTGGAGGACTGACTGAACCGAGAATTGCTGGAGGAGGAGCTTGGTGAAGCCATGACTGCCTTGTGCATGGAGCACACTGATTACCCAAGCTCATACGCCAGGGCCAGACCGCGCATGGTGGCCCATTTCTACGTCAAGTGCCTGACCCTAAAGCAGCTGGAGGCTGTGGCGATGGCATGGGAGGCTTGCCTGCTTTCCTGAAGAATTCCTTTATTGGTGCTGCCCGGGAACCGCTACTGGAAGCCCTCCAAGACTTGGGACTTCTAGAATCTGACTCTTTCTCAAGTCTTAAGACCCCAGCTCATCACTAAATGTAACCCTCTATGGATCCATGGAACCTGATTGGGGACCTTGGAAGGGAATGACGGAGGGAAAGGGGGATGTTTTCTCTTCTGGGCCTGAGAGATGATACCAGACTAAAAGGACATGTGTGTGCATAAATAAATAAATAAATAAATAAATGAAAAGAAAAGCTACAATACATGGAAAACATCAAATATGTTAAATCCATGATTCATAATTATATTTAAGGTGAGCAAAAGAGATATAGCTCATTAGCTTTCTATATAAAAATAGCTCATTTTTCTGAAGTTGATAAACAAAAGAACCAAATATTAGCCCTGCTATACCATAAGAAATTTTTTCTAAGAAATCACCTCAGGACTAAGAGTGGATGGAGTGTTTTTTAATGAATTTTGGCTAATAAACAAAGAAAAAATGATAGAAGAGCATATTAACAACTTCCACTGAAAATAATATTATAGGCAAACATTATTGATGGTGTAATAAAAATCATTAGGAGATCAATCATGGGGAACTTTAAAAATAGGTGAATCAGGCCAAAGTCTGTGAACCAATTTAATATCACTAAAATAGACACAACCTGATGCTGCCTCCTGTGATGCCCACCTTTGCCCAAAAAAAGTGAAATCTTACCTAATCATCAGTTTATAGAAATTACAGGAGCATAAGAACATGTGAAATACCACATGGAAATAATCAGAAAATCTAGAATATGGGCATTTCTAGAGGTCAAATGACTCCATTTTAATTAGTGACTGGACTTAAAGATTTGTGCTGCTCCCTGCTCAGTGAAAGACTCAGAAGACTGAAGTTAGTGAAAGGAAACAAGTTTATTTAGGGTAGGCCCTGATTAAAATAAAGGAGATTTTTTTTAAGTGGGGGTATGCTGGGAATTGAACTCAGGGGCACTGGACCACTGAGCCACATCTCCAGCCCTATTTTGTATTTTATTTAGAGACAGGGTTTCACTGAGTTGCTTAGTACCTCACCACTGCTGAGGCTGGCTTTGAACCCGTGATCCTCCTATCTCAGCTTCCTGAGCCACTGGAATTACAGGCACGTGCCACCACACCCGCTTAAACATTTTTTTTTTCCCTCTCAAATACCCATCTTCAGTGGTTTCATGTTATGAAGAACTTTTATAGGACTCAACTGTATCTTTTTGCCCTTCTCTAGGTGATGAGCTTATTATAAAATAACCATTTGGATATGTTAAGGATGCTCAGGTAAAGCCCCAATGTTGATTGGACACAAGATGAGATCTGGTTGTAAATCTTACTAGCAGAATTTAGAAAATAAATGGCCTTAACCTATAACTTTTAAAGACCTACTTCCATGGTAAAATAGCTAGATCTATAAATAGAAAAAATGTTTTGGTACTGGGGATTGAACCCAGGGGTCCTTTATCACTGAGCTATATATCCCCAGCCCTTTTAATTTTTTCTTTCGAGACAAGGTCTTACACCATGTTGCTTAGGACCTCATTAAATTGCTGAGGCTGGTCTTGAAACTGTGATTCTCCTGCCTCAACTTCAAGTCACTAGGATTATAGGCATGTGCCACTGTGCCAGGCATTCCTCAAAAATTTTAAGGCAGATACTATGTAATTGAACTACCAGGAAGACAAGATTGAGGTTAATTTACAAATTATAATGCATTTGGGGTTTTTAGGACTATCAGTGGGTAGCTAGGAGAAAGCAACTGAATTTTACCAAAATGTATGGGGGAAACCTAGCAGTTATATGTCAATTATACTAGTTGTAGCCTTGTCCCAAATCAGGTCAACCATAACTGTAAGGATAGGGGTTTAATGGCGAGTTAACTTTCTTATGAAAGGGAAAAATACAGTATGCAAGTGAAATGGAAAGGTTCCATTGGAGCCACCAAAGGCCATAAAGGCCATGGTTGAGATCTGGTTGTAAATCTTACTAGCAGAATTTAGAAAATAAATGTATGCAATGGCCTTAGAGCAGCAGACTCCCAATATTAACAATATATATTTTTATATATTTATAGAGTGTGATTTTGATTAGTGCAAGAATAAAAATGAGAATGACCTGAGACTTGAGAGAGAATCTGTAGAGAATCCTCTCCATAATTATAGAGTCAGCAGTAACCTAAAGATAAAACTGAAGAGTTTTCTCCATTACAATAAGAATATTGGCCTCAGGTTTCCTATTAAGTTTTGAAACCCATCAAGCGGTCTTTATCAAACCACAAACCTCCCTACATTTCAGCTACTCCATTTGCAAAATGCGGGTAAATCTGTCCTCTCCTTCCCTTGAGGGGGTATGATGACAATCAAATAGTATGTTTTAATAAAGCCATACAAAAACTATAAAATAACAAACAGTTCCATTACTACTGGCCAATGTGAGAGAAAGCAGGGTCCATATTAATGAACCAGAAAGGTATAAGGAGAGCTTCTTCAAAAAATAAAACTATGCTGGGTCCATATTAATGAACCAGAAAGGTATAAGGAGAGCTTCTTCAAAAAATAAAACTATGCTGGCTCAAAAGCTTGTGAAGGGGCTGGGGCTGTAGCTCAGGGGTATAGCGCTTGCCTTGCACTGGGAGGCACTGGGTTCAATCCTCAGCACCACATAAAAATAAAGAAAGAAAGACATTGTAAAAAAGAAAAAAAAAAGATAGTGGACCACATAATTCAAAAACACTTTAACTACAGTCTACAGAAAGGCTAATATCTTTAGGTCTAAATCAAATGCTGAAGGATGGCTGAGGTAAACAAGAAAAGTCTTCTGATGAGAAGAGGAAGCACTTAGGCCAAGATCTAAGTCTGAAATCATTGTTATGTCAGTAAGTTGAAAGAAAATAAAAAACCCAAAAGCCCCAAACAAAATTTGCTATAGATGAAAAGTAATCCTGAGATTTCAAAGTTAGGCAGCAAACTGAACCATGGCTTTGAGGGTAACAGAGAGAGAGGAAAGAGAGAGGAGGGGAGGGGGAGAGGGGGGAGAGAAAAAGAAGAGAGAGAGAGGAGAGAGAGAAGAGGGAGAGAGAGAGAATTTTTTTCCCCCAGGGGCAGAGGGTAGTGTGAGAGAAAATATAATGGTTTCCCTCTTCTCCATTTGGATATGTTAAGGATATTTTCCTCTTCTCCCTCCTATAATCATTACTCGCATAGTCCCTTTCTGAATTTTTTTTCCTCTGCTCCCTTGACCTAATTCCCCCATCTAAAAGAGAGGGAATAGACCTATGTTAATAATGGAAAGAGACAGAGAAGAATGGCTTTCACCCTATATCTCAACTAATGTTTAGATTTTTTAAAAGTCACAGTTGATATTGGAGAACCTAAATGGGAAATTAAATGCCTAAGGTAACAAAGATGCAGAGGAAGGAACAGGAAGGGACAGGACAAAACTCACATTATACCTCACAATCTATACTAGGATATAATGATGACAATAAAGATACAGGTCAACTAAAATAGCTGTCAAAGACAAACATTTCTCTTTTTGGAAAATCTGTATCAAGTCTACTTAAATAAAGTTCCATCTGTACAGTGTAAAACATTCTGACATGATACCAACAATGTTATCATTTTTATTCATATCCACTGTAATTGGGTACTTTCATCATAATTGAAAGATTTAAAAATACATTTTCAAGGTAACCTACCTGTAATTGCATGACCACATAGTTGAATCGGTCATTCCTCCCACAGCCAATAAATCTACAAACATGGTCTTTCCCTGGATAAAAAAATAAATAAAAGGAAGAAAAACAGTGAAAAAAGGATACACTACGGTTTCTCTTCTTTAAAAAAAAATCAATAATTTGTTTTCTATACAGTATTTTATGATTTAATGTAAAAATATGTTTTGAAACCTTGAGGATAGAAAATTTACATTATTCAAAATTTTTACCTTCCCACCCCCAGCTTCTGCACTGTTCCTTGTGCAGTCAAATACATGTTCTTGAGTGAATAAACAAATAAATAAATGAAGAAACAAACAAATGGTAATTTATTCAGAAAGGAAAAGATTAAAAGGTTATTTCAGATCAACATGCTCAGATGCAATACATAAGAAAGCACAGAGAAGCAATTAATAAGAACATTAGAAATATACATATTCAATTGTAGATACATTCTACCATTCACTATTACATAACTTTAGCAAGTTATGTCATTTTTCTGAACCTCACTGATTCACAGATTAGGCTAGCGATTTTCCAACTGAATTCCATGTGTGAAATCTAAGGACATGCTGATTGGGATATGGAGGCGATCCGAGGTAGAGCTGGTATAAATCTGGGATCTTTCCTTTGACTCAAACAAACAAACAAAAGCAATGCCAAGGTCTAAAAAAAGGATCAAGCCTGGTAAGTAAATTCCAGGGCCAGAAAAAAGCATCTGGCTAGAACACAGTAAATGAGTGGAGGGGGAACAAGGTTAAGATAGTGCTGAAGAAGCAGTTAGGCACCAGATCCTGAAGCATCTTGTACTCCATGATGAAGAATTAGAACCACATAAGGTCAGTGTCTTCCAAATCTGGATGCTTACCAAAACTATCTGGGAAACTTTTTAAAGATTCCTAAGTTCAGACTATGGTTGTAGCTCAGTGGAAGAGTGCTTGCCTAGCAAGTGTGAGGCACTGGGTTCGATCCTCAGCACCACTTAAAAATAAATAAATAAAATAAAGGTATTGTGGCCAGGTGTGGTGGTGCATGACTGTAATTACAGTGGCCCGGGAGGCTGAGGCAGGAGGATCACAAGTTCAAAGCCAGCCTCAGCAATGATGAGGTGCTAAGTAACTCAGTGAGACCCTGTCTCTAAATAAAATATAAAATAGTGCTGGGGATGTGGCTCAGTGGTTGAGTGCCCCTGAGTTCAATTCCCGGTACCACCCACCCCCCCAAAAAAAGGCATTGTGTCAATCTACAACTAAAAAAAATTTAAAACTAAAAAAGATTGCTAAATTCTATACTGATTCTGAATCTGTGGGGGAAGATACAGAATATGATCTTTTCAAAATTCTTTAAATGAACCCAAAGCAGGCAGAACATGGATGGATATTGGAAAATACTACTGGGTAATGAGAAACATCTAAAAGTTTTGTTTTATTTGTGTAGTGCTGGGGATTGAACCCAGGAGCACTTCACCACTGAGGTACATCCCCTGCCCTGTTTTGTTTTGTTTGAGACAGGGTCTCCCCTAAGTTGCTGAGGCTTGCCTTGAACTTGCTATCTTCCTGCCTCACCCTCCTGAGTCACTGGGATTACCAGTGCCACCACAACACCAGGACTAAAAGAATTTTAGATAAGGAATTACTACTACAATACTGCATTTTAGAACATCATGCATTGGCAGTGGGGATGTCAGACTCCGGAAAGGTCCATTCTAGAGGCAGAGAAGTTGCCCTGGGAATAACAACAATATTCCGGGAGAGTGAAGAAGGGGGTTGAACTCTCCAAGTATTAGAGTAAAAATAGATTAAATAGGATAAATCTGAGAGATAACTAAACATGTAATTTTCTACTAGAAATTGGTACACTTAAAATGAAAACTATTGAAAAAAGAGAATAAAAAAGGCTGTATATACTTTAAGGAATAATAGAATGCCAGATTTGAGGACAATTCAAATGGAATTCAGTAGATAATTATAATTTTAGGCCTGGTGCTGAAACAAAAAGACTGAGCTCCAGATATACCATTACCATGAAAAATAGATGGAACCACAAATGCAGCTGGAAGATTGACAAGTAAAAGAATAAAAAATAAGAAATTTGGAGGCTGGGGTTCAGTGGTAAAGTGCTCACCTAGCATGTGGGAGGCCCTGGGTTCAATCCTCAGCACCACATAAAAATAAATAAATAAAATAAAGGTATTGTGTCTATCTACAACCAAAAACTAAATATTAAAAAAATAAGAAATTTTAGAATGTAATCTGGAAAAAGCATAACTTAAAGCCTGAGCAAAAATAAAACAGCCCCTCAGGGAAATAGGGGAATAAGTCCAAGAGGTAGGAGAAAACTCTAAGAAAGGGGTATCACAGAAACTATGGAAGGGCAGTTCACAAAGGTAGAAGTGGCCAGTAACAAAAGCTGTAGAAAAGCTGAGAAGTGCTCACTTATAAACAACTGGGCTTGGTGTCACCAGGATTGGAAGAAAAGAAGCCAATTTATAATATGTTAAAGAATACATGGAATATGTGACAATGAGGTCAGATAATCTTTGAAGAAGCTTGCTTGTAAAATGAGGAAGAATGATAGGCTGCAGATTTAGATTGGAGAAAAACAAAACAAATTTCAAAAAGAATCTGTCCACTGACTAACTCAAAATATTAATACAATAAAGACTCATTTAATAATTTCATGTTTCTTTCTTGCATCTGGATTACCAATTATCATAATGTTCTTTCATTCTTTGTTCTTTGGTTAAAGAGAAGAAACTAGCAAGAATGGGCACAATGGGAACACAATTTTCAGTGTGAAGGATACATGTTGATCATTCCACATTTATTTTACATGTAATTGCAAAACTATATCAACTAGCCAGGGCAGTGGCTCATGCCTATTATCCTAGCTGCTCAGGAGGCTGAGGCAGGAGGATCCCAAGTTTCAAGGTCATCCTTGGTAACTTAGTGAGACCCTGTATCAAATATTAAAAAAGGGCTGGAGATACAGTCTAGTGGTAGAGCATTCCAGGGTTCAATCTCCAGTACTCTGCCCCCCCAAAAAAGCTCTATCATCTAGTGAATTATAATAACAATGAAAGGATAAAATGATAGTAATAACCAAAATTTCCCCTCTGCTTCACAGAAACAATTTAAAATTTTAGTTAGTCCTTCCATTATTTTTCAAGATTCCACTTTCAGCTTCAGGTATAGGTCAATGCATAAGGCCCTGGGTTCAAACACTCACACTCCACTGTGAAAAACAAAAAGACTCCACTTTCTTGTCATTAACATTTTAAATGCAGTACCTCTATTACAAAGAAATCTCAACATCTAAAAACAGAAGGTCATGCTAGATTTCATTCCTCTTGTAATGCTCCTTCTAAAATAAGCATTGTAAATTATACTAAAAAACTATTTATCTCTTAATACTAAAAATCACCCTACTTTCAAAAAAGAAAACAGATTTGAATAAAAGAAACTGTGGCACAGGCCTGTAATCCCAGCAGCTAAGGAGGTTGAGGCAGAAGGATCACAAAATCAAAGCCACCCTCAGTAATGGCAAGGTGCTAAGCAACTCAGGGAGATCCTGTCTCTAAATAAAATACAAAATAGGTCTGGGGATGTGGCTCAGTGGTCAAGTGCCCCTGAATTCAATCCCCAGTATGCACCTCTGCCCCCTCCCAAAAAAGAAAAAAATTGAATAAGCAGTAGATCCTTTATTGAGCAGTCAGTCAGTAGCAAATTTTCTAGGATTCAAAAATGTATATGCATCACTTTAGGTAAGAATTAAATAAATTCTTTTTTTCTTCTTTTTTGGTACTGGAAATTGAACCCAGGGATGCTTTACCACTGAGCTACATCCCCTGTCTTTCTTATTTTTTCTTTAGAGAAAGGGTATTGCTATGTTGCCGAGGGTTGCTAAATTGCTAAGGATGTCCTTGAGCTTACAATCCTTCTCCTTCAGCCTCTCTAGTCCCTGGATTTTAGGCATGCAATACCAAGCCTGGTTTAAGAGTTCTTGTCTTGTAGTCAGATATGGTGGCACATACCTGTAATCCCAGTAATTTAGGAGGCTAAGGCAGAAGGATTGCAAATTCAAGGCCACCCTTGGCAATTCAGTGAGCCCTTAAGCAACCTGGCAAGATCCTGTCACAAAAAAAAAAAAAAAAAGAAAAAAAGAAAAGGACTAGGGATGTGACTCTGTGGTTAAGCGCCATGGAGTTTAATCCCCAATTTAAAAGGAAAAAAATGAGTTCTTGTCTTGTCTCATACTATATGGCATCGAATACTGCTGCTCATATTTATATCTATGGATATACTATTAATGAAACTAAAGTTAGTTCAATAAAAATGTACAAATTTTGGGAAGTATGGGGAAATAACTTAATTAAACAATAACTCTTTACTACCACTTAGTGCAATTGTTTAAATAACTTCATTTTATTTATTTATTTATTTGGTGCTAGGGATTGAACCCAGAGTAGTATACCACTGAGCTACATCCTCAGCCCTTTTTAATTTTTTAGGGTCTCACTAAATTGTTGAGGTCTCACTAAATTGCTGAGGCTGCCCTTCAACATGTGATCTATCCTCTTGCCTCAGCCTCCCAAGTCACTGGGAATACAGGCATGCACCACAGCACCCAACTGTTAAAATAACGTATATAACAATAAGTATATACTGAAATTATCAGTCCATGAAGAAGAGACTATATCTATCTTGTCCTGGTACCCAAAACAGTACCTCACAGAGTGAAATGTTTGATCAATATTTATGAATAAACAACTTAAGAAGAAATAATAATAGCATAATGCATAATGTGCACACAAAATATGCAAGTATTTTCTGCCAAGCTCTATGTGCTTTACCTGGACTTAATCCTCAAATATTAGTATTTTTTTCTGTTTTTCAAATATAGAAATGGAGGCTTACTGAAGTTAAATTACTTCTTCCAAAATCATACAGCTAGAAAATGGAGCAGTTTGATTCTAGAGACTTTTTTCTTAATCATTAATTAAGCCAGAAAAAATTAAATAGATTTTAAATTCAAATAACATCTTGTTGATACATAT